ATAAATGCTATTTATAGTAATAAAAACTAATAGATATAATAGAAATAATATATATAATAGATATAGTATATATAATAAAATGATAGATATAATAGATATATAATATCTGTTAGATATGTTAGATATATTAGATATGTTAGATCTAATAGATCTGTTAGAAATGTTAGATTTGTTAGGTTTCCAGCACAGTAATATGAGCCAATCAGAATCAAGTTATATGTCTAGAATTAGTGCTTTCATCAAAATCATCCTGATTTTGTAATCTCATGATCAGAATCATATGATCTTGTGCTTATTAGAATCATCTCAGTGAGCTGAATCCAATAGTGGTTGTTTCATCCAAATTGGTTTAGTATATCAAAAGTTATGATTAAAAATGTGTAAAACTCTTAATGTTAGCAATGCTAAATTATGTTTCATAGATTTTAATATTTTTTTGCAAGGCCTCAGAATTTTGGGTCATTTTCATTAAAACCAAATAACATTAGCTAACCATCTATATGGCCATTAAATATTAACTTTATTAATAAGTTTTTAAGCTTGATTACTGAAATTTAAACTAATATTCAGATTGCAAGTACTTTTATAAAGTGATATTTTTTTATATCAAGAATACATTACAATAAAGAATATGGTTTTTTATAACTAAAATTGTGTTTATATAGATTTTTTCTGTTTTTGGTTTTGTGCAACTATGTTGTATAGCTGCTTATTATTATTCTTATTTACTATTATAGCTAAATCAAATCCTGTAATTATAAAGTTTTTTAAATTAACAAAATAATCTTTATTTATTATTTAATTGTTTTATTAATTAAATTAATTCTATTTTATTATATAAATTATATTTCTAATAATTAACAATATTGTTATTATTATTATTTAAACAAATTATTAGAACCAAATTAAATGTTATATAGAAATATTTTTATATTAAAGCATATTACTTATAATTATTATTTTTTTAATGATTGTCTTTGTCATCTTGAATGCTGGCTTTTCATATATAAAGTAACTATTAAACTTGTTGGAAAATATGTATCACAAATAGAACAACAAAGTTTTTATAATTAATTAAAGAGAGACAATATATATTATAACCAGATAGTTTGTTTATATCATAAAACTCTAATATATGAATTAAATTAAGACAGTGTCCATCATTTTCTTTTATTAAAGAAGAAAGAAATTCATTATTTAATGCAAGAAGATTGGTAGCATCTTTACAATGTTTAGGCATACAACAAGATATATCATCACATTTTTTAATATTAAGAGAATATTGGTACATTTTTGTATGATTTTCTAGTTATTTCCAAGGAATAATAGACTTAATAATATTATTTGTATCATATTCAGAAAATATAACATTATTAAATAATGAAGTATGTTGATCAATATAGTATATTATAACTGAATTTTCAAAGATAGGATCCTGATTTCACAAATTATATAAAGTTTTACCAACATACTAAAAATTTTTTTTGCAAGCTCTTGGTTAATTACTTCACTTTGAAAATTAAAATAAGTACTATTCTTATCAATTGATAAACCTATTTCTACAAGTTTTTGTGAAAGTGTAGCCATACCATATTCAACAGGATTATAAGCTAAATGATAAGATGTATGAGTTCTAACTATAAGATAATTAAGATTAAATTTATGAAATATTTTACAATACCAAACAATATTTTTTAAATATCATGGATTTTCATCTGGGCCTACATCTATCAAAAGACCCAAATAGATTTAATTAAACTATTATCTTTTAATATTTTGATTAGATAATTATTTTCAGTTAATGATTTTAAATCTTCTATATATTAAGCTAAATTAGTTCTAACTTGGTATTATGGATATATAAATATTGCAAGTTGACAATTATAAGAAGTATTATTAATATCACTTGAATTTGTTAACATATAAACTAATAGTATCAGTTTTTGTTGCTTTCTAATAGAAAAATCATAGTTAGATAATGTAACTGGTTCTTGAAAACTCTAAATACTTTTAAAAGTTTTTCTAACTGCAGAAATACCAAGAGAAATTTTAGCCTTATCATCTTGTGATATTACTACAGAATGGCTAAAAAATCTTACTGCAAATTGCTTCACTCCTTTTACAAAAGCAAAATAATAATATACATCAGGATGTTTTTTTTTCATTTCTATAGACAGAAGAGATCACAATACCTACAGGATGATACTGGGCTTTTGCAGCTATAAAATTTGAATGACAAAGTAATAGGTAATTATTAAGACCAGAATGTAATAAATATTCATTATACCTAGTTCTAAGATCTTTTTGTAAATGATTAATAATAAGAACCTTTATGTTTTCTTTTCTTCTTTTTTTATATGCAGCACTAAATTTAACACATTCATAGATATGTTCAAATAAATTTGGATAGTTAATAATAAATGATAGATGATCTAAAGTATCATATTTTTCAAGTATTTGCTTTTTATGTAGAAGTTTTGCTTTTTTTTCTCTACATTTATGCTAATAGGTTGCATTACACTTTAATTTTGTGATTTGTTTATTCTTATAGTTTAAAGTTTTCTTAAGAGTTTCAATAAGTTCTAATAAGATTTTCTGAGTTTCTAGATCAATTGTAGTATTATACTGTTATTGATATTTAGCAAGTTTCAAATTAGTTTTATTAATAATGTTTATAGCTTGCCACTATGCTATAGTATTAGGTAAAGGAGTATTAGATATAATAATTTTTTCAATAAGCTCTAGTAATAAATCTGATTTAGTTAAGACTGAAATTGAGTTTTTTAAATATTCATTAATTTTATTTTCAATTATTAGTTTAGGCTTGTTATGAATCTCTTTTCATACTGCATTATATTCTATGCATAAAAATGACATGGGATACATAGAATCTTTTCTATTCAACATCTAATCATAACTAAAAGCATTAATAAACCTTTGATATTGATTTGTAGGACACTTATAAATATAATTTTTATTATATTTGGATGCCAAATAAAAGAAAATAGAGTTTTGAATAATAATATATTGGTTAAATAAAAATATAATTTATAGAATGAATGTTTGAAATGAAGATATTTTTAAAAGTTATTCTAAGCAATAGCAAGAAAAATAGTTTATCAAGTAAGTAAACCTTATACAATATTTATTCTTTAAAATTTTTTACTTATACAAATTTATATTACTATTTTACACTTTTGCTTAAGCTTGTATTTTTTATGCAAATAGTTTATTATAATGATTATGAATTATTTGAATTACTTTGCTAATTAGACTATGTACATTAAATTTTTATTTATGTAAAGCATTATTTTATCTTTGTCTCATAATTAAAATAAGTAGTAATATAATTAACTTGGATTAAAATAATAAACTATATATTTAATCATGCAACTCAAAAATGTTTTTTCATCATACTAATTTAATAGCTAATGACAGAATTCAGTAAAAGTCAAATGAGGTAGAATTAGACAATATACTGTAGTTTGTTAGACAAAATTGTAAATTATCTTGGATGATTTGAATATTTATTTTTAGAATAAATTTTAATTTATTATAAATGACTAAAAATTGCATATGTAAGTAGCTTTTATATCTCAGTTTACTAACAATTGATATTTTTACAGTCTTTACTCAATTAAAATCAAAATTTTTTAGAATTTAATTTACTTCTTTTTTAATTAAATAGAGCCTAACACAAGACTCTAAATAATTTATATTAAATATTTGAATAAGAAATTATTTCCCAATTGCACAATTTGGAAAATATATATATTTTTTTTTCAGTATTAAGATGACCTCTTTGGTCCGAGCTTTTTATTAATACTTATATCAGGTACATGTTTTATATAAATGTATCTATAATGAACTATTAGATGAGTGTACAACTGGCTACATGTGTAACTTTCTATATTACCTATTTAAGGAGTCTGCTTGAGGGTTCCCCACAAGTTGCTATACCTAACACCCTTACTAAGGTGTTCTATTTAAACCCTCTGATCTAACCCTGGTATTAATTTCACTGGGTCACAGACCCAAATCTATTTACTATTAACCATAGGACTATAATCTTTAGACTATTTTTATCCTTAAAGTAAACCTACCAGAGCAAGCCATTTTCCCTTTTACTGCTAACCTGGTTTGACACTATGGCCAAAGCCAACACTTGCAGACAGGATTACCTCTTAGACTGCTATTATCCTTATAAAGTTCACCCAAACTCTGGTATCCATCTTTTCAACTTCTTCTTCATTATCCTCTACTAGCCACAACTTAGAATTAACTGACTCCCCAGACTCCCAATCCAGATAGCCTGGTATGGTATATTTATATATCCTTTTCCTCCGATGATTCTGGCAGCCTGGTTGGTTATATGCTCCTCTACACATCTTTGTCATCCAGTTTATCCAACAGTTCCTATGAAGGTGTTTCATAGGCTTCCATCAGTCCAATGGTACCATTGAAAGTTTGTGCTATCTCTTTATTCGGGATTTCCAAGTAAGTTTCTGTCTTTTTGGTTTCTTAGCCTTTTACGCCTGGGAGACTTATCATGGGTTTGCCTGAAGCCTTATATAACACCAGTTTTATATTCTTCAATGTACATGTACTGTGTAATGTTATACTTTGCATAGATGCCCTGAGCTTCCAATGTCAGGTGGGGCCCGACTTGGTGTACCTAAGATTACAGATGCCCAAAACCCAACTGATTGGTAGAAACAGTTATTATAATACAGGTATAATTTTCAAAATTCATCATTTGTGAGAATTGAACCTTAGACCTGCCACTTGGGGTTGACAATCTATCCACTTCACTAGGTCGCCACACCCTTAAATAAAACTTTTTATAAAATACATACTTTTTAGATTTATTTATATAACATTACATACTCTTAAAGTTAGTTTTGATACAATCAAAATTACAGAATTACAACTCCAAATACTTCAATCAAGTTGCCAGAATAGAACTATTTTTCCAAATTCTATTATCAGTAAAATTTGAACTTTTAATCTATTGCTTAAAAAATAACAATCTAAACATTATACTAAAATTGCTATTCTCAAATAACAAAAATATTTTTTTTATTATAATTTAACAAGCTTATATATTTAAAAGTATTTTTTTAAATATTTTTTATAACTTGTGTTTTTTAAATAAATATTTTAATTTTTAAAAAACTATCAAATTTAAAAACTTTTAGTTGTAAATAATAATAAACTTTAATTTTTTATTTAAATTATATTATATCAAGTCAGAAATATAAAAAATTTTAAATACAATTTACTTAATCTTTTTATATGTTTTGAAAAAAAATGATTATATTCTAATTTGTTAATACAAATGTTTGTTTTAAATTGTTTATTAAATAAATTATATAATTAGTATTATTTTTTAAATTATAATACAAACAAATTTATTTATATTAATTTTTTAAAAATATAAAATTTAATATGCAATATATTTTTTAAATAAAATAAATATTTTTAAAAATCTAATTTATTAATTTTGTTAAAAAACTTTTTTAAATTTATTAAAAAACTTTTAATTATTAAAGTTTAAAGTTTGTATAATATTAAAGTTTATTACTAAAATATTTTTAAGTTTTTTTAAAATTTTATGTTTCTAAAAATAAAAAAAAATTTAGTCTAGAAATATAGTAATTAGTAAAGTAAATAAGTTGTCAATTTTCTAAATGCTAAATTGGATATTTAAATTAAATTAATAACAAAAATTTGAATAATTAATTATATAATATTTATATTATAGTAACTGTTTCTAATGATTGAATTAAAATACCTATAATAATAGTTATATTAGCATAACTAGCAGGTTATAGAGCATTTGTATAAATATAACATTATATAAAAAAATACAAATTAGTATCAGGTAATATAAACTTTAGATAAGTTCTTGTAATTATATAAATCTATTGAAATTAAAAAACAAAATGTTCATTTAAAAAGACTCAAATAGAGAGATAGTATAGATCTTTAATGACACTACTATAAAAACTAGTCTTAAAAAATATATATTAATGTTGAAGTATCCAGACAGATACAAATTTTTGAATAGAGTATACTGTAATAAAATTTACTAAAAACTAGCAAGTTATAGTAATTTTAAATTGCATAAATGCCAATTAGAAAATCTTTTATTTAAAAAAAAATAAAATAAATAAAAATAAAAAATAAATAAAAAATAAATATTTAAATGAAATTTAAATTTAATAGTCTTCTAAATACTATAAGATACAAAATAAAATCAACTTTTAAACTAATTCTACTAATCAGTCTATATAAATTGAGTATAACAAAATGTTTATTCTATATTAGAATTATTAGACTTTAAAACTTAGAAATGTTTATAGGATATAATTAGAAAAAGAAAATTCTTGATAACTAGATCATTAACAGCTATATATGATCTTTAAATTTTAATAATATAAAGCTAGTATTTGTCAAATAACTAATTAAAAAAACTAGCTTTTTACTTTATATTATTATAAAAAAAAAAATAAAAAAAATAAACTAGATAAAGATAAATTATAAAGAAAAATAAGATAAAGAATAAATTTTATTAATAATAATAAGATAAAATAGGTAAAATAATATTTTATTAAAAAATAATTTAAGATACAAAAATACTTTTATATAAGTAAAGAACTTTAAAAAAGAATTATCTAAGAACTATCTTTTTAAAAGAACAAAAAACTATTCTTTTTATAGCTTTTAATCTAATAATTGATTAGTTTTAGAGTTACCATGTGTTGTAGCATCATTCTGGATCATATGAATATCCAAAATGTAACAGAAATTAAGAAATTACATGAAATTGTCTGTATATAATAGTAATAATAATAAATCTTGTTTAAACTTAATTTTAAAAGTTTGTTATTTTAAACTTATTTTGATTTTCAATTTTTAATATTTAACAATTACTACATCTTATTTGTTATATAATAAAAGACTTAAAATAATTACTAATGATAATATAAGAAAAAGAATTAGTTATATATTGCTTATATTATATGTATTGTAAAAAAGTCCTTTAGAAAATTAAAGTATATAAATAATGTAAACTATATTATTAATATTTTAGATATAATAAGTTTATATACATGCATAATGTATATTAAAATCGCAAAGATTTATGATTAAAATAATAGTTACGTAATGTAAGATGTAAGAAATTGAATAGACAGAGAATTAGACGTAGAACTAAACATAGAATTGGACATACGTATATGCTTATTGATAGTTGAGATTTTGTAAATAAATTAGAATGTAATTAATAATAAATACTATTGAAAAATTAATAAGTTCGGTTTAAATTAATGAATATACATATGCTTACTTATTTTACGACAGCATTTAGTAGTATTTATTTAGAACTTTAGTTATAAATTTTAATTGAATTTTGCTTTTTTTCATCTTATAATAAGTTAGGATATTATTGGCTAGTAAAGCTTTACGATTTGGGTGCCGCCAAGTGAAAACCTGACATTCTAAAAATAGATTTATATGAACAACGGAATGCGGGGTTTGAACTAATCTGACTAGAATAATGGATTATACTGTGTTTTTGATCACAAAGTAGTCTCATTTAAAGTCCGTCCGTAGAAATCTATTTTTAGAATGTCAGGTTTTCACTTGGCAGCACCCATTTTGATTGGCTAAACAAATCGAGGGTTGTCCACCATGTTGAAATGTAAGTCCTCTGCTTCGCTTCGGACAATAAACCTACAACCTAACTCTAAAATCTTAAGAAATTCCAAATTATTTTAAATGTATATATTGTCTATATTCATGAAAAAGTCTATAACGGATGGCATGCAATTAGAAATATTACTATTACAGTCGAATCTCTCTATAATCACACCCCTCAGGATCAGTGTTTAAAATTCAAAAAAAAAATTACATGCACAAATGCATTTTGTGCATCTTTTTTTAAATATTTTACATGCACACTTAATAAATTTTTAACAAAATCCAAAAAAATTCATGCACATGTGCATCTTGTGCATGCCAATTTTAAACACTGCTCAGGATGTGCTTATAAAAAGATTTTTACTACTAAGATGTGCTTATAAAGAGGATTTTTTAATATGTTTATATATAATTGGTTTTTAAATAAATGTGCTCATAAAGAGGTTTTATATGATGTGCTTATAACGAGTGTGACTATAGAGGGGTCTGACTGTATATTAAAAAAAAAATTTATTAAAAAATCAAATACTGTTCAAAGTAATAAAAAAAATTTTAAATATATTCATTTACTTTTTTTAGAAATAAATATGCTCTAATCTGTACTACGTAGTAATTGTTGATAACTAAAATGCTATATTTCAAAAAATTTACTAAAAAATAAATTTAGAAATACTAAACAATTTTTCAAAACCCCAAAATCTTATGCAAACTAAAGTTTTGACTTTTTAATCTAACCTATACTATGTTCTATAAACTCCTATTTTATTCAAACCCTAACGCTAAATTGTAATAAACTTATTATGAATTTTTTTTTAATAACTACTGGTGCAAAAAAATAATGATTCTTTTAAAAATAATTGATAAAATGATTTAATTTCTATTTAAAACATAAACCAAATTAATAATTAGAATTATTATTTAAAAAAAAATATTAAATCGAAATGCTTTTAAAAAAAGAAATATTTCGATCTATTGTAACAAGCAAAATTAAAAAATAAAACATTATGCATATTGATTTTGCTTAAATTTGAAAATAAATTTAAACTTTTCCTATCACCACTGAAGCGTCCATAGATCTATACAAAAACCACCATCTCCAAATTTTAATTAACAATTCTGTTAAATATAATCTAAATGTCATTACAATGAAGTCCTTAATGAATCCCAGAGTTCTAAAGAAATTTGGAGTTCCACCAAGTAAATACCATCTTTGTAATGGACCGATCATAGAATCATCACCTGTTAACCCCAATTCTTTTGAATGAGTTATTCGTTTTTTTTCTTCGATTCTTGTTTCACACCATAATCCTCGTATAGCAAATTGAGCATTCATTTTGAAACTTTCTATTGGATTTCCACCAAGTTCACGATGAATTCCACGTACTATATTAATTGTTCTAAATACTAGTAACATATCTCTTGGTAAAGATTCCAAAAAATCAAAGAAATCACTTAATTTTATATTTTTTAATTGATCTTGAACTATAGCACGTTCTTCAGGTGACATATCTTCTCCAAGAGGAGTTGTAGAATCTGATATACGTTGTGTAAAAATCAAAGGAAGAAATTGAATGTATTGAGGAACACCCAAAGAATTAGCCACTTTTTTGAGAGATTCAGAATCATTCAATATTAAAGCTTTCCACAGATAACAATATATCAAACGAAATTCATCAGATAATTCTCTATAGAGACCATGATCAAGGAGAACAAGTTGAGGTTTATTTGTAATTGGTGATATTGTTATAAGAGCATTTCCAGCATGAGGATCACAATGAATTACACCGTGACAAAAGATCATTTCAGCAAATACTTCTAACAATATAGTTCGTACCCATTTTGGATTTACACCTAAATTTTTTAATTTTTCCATGTTATTGATTTTAACACCATGAACAAATTCCATGGTCAACACACGTTTAGTCGTTAATTCCCATATAATATTTGGTATTTTTAATTCACGTGCACGATGTTTGAATCTTTCTTTTGTTAATTCACCATTTTTGGCTTCTCGTAAAAAATCGAATTCCGAAATTAAATTTTGCTTAAATTCAGTTATAATCCAAGTCAATTCGAATTCCGGAAAAAAGAAAGAAATTAAATTGGACATTGATTGCATAGTCCAAATATCCACATGAAAAAGTCTTGATACCTATATTATAAACGTTTAAAATTAATTCAAAAAAAATATAAATATATATTTGTATATATACTAATATATATTTATAATATACTCACATCAGGATATTGAATTTTGACAGCTACTTCCCGACCATCTTTTGTTTTAGCTATTATTTAATACGCATATAAGAAAATAATAAGAAAATTAATATATTTTTAAATTAATTCTTTTTGGTTTTATTTTTTTTAAAAAAGTATATCCATTTTGCATAATAAGAAATCCAATAAATTCTATAATTTATTTACCTTTATGCACTTGAGCTAAGGAAGCAGCAGCTATAGGAATTTCATCGAATTCAGAATATATATCCTTTGGACTTAATCCATTAAATTCCTCGGAAAATATTTTTTTTACATCATTCATGCCTCTATAAGGTGCTCGATCCTGTAATATGGATAATGTTTCAATATATTCTCTAGGAACGATAAAAGTTAAAGAAGCAAGATGTTGAGCTCCTAAATATTTTATTTCAAATATAAATTTTGAATTAGAATTATATGTGTGCATACATGTAAGTAATATATATATACACATGGTTGTGTGCATATATATATATATATATATCTATATATATATGCGTATATAGTTTTTCAAAACAAACATGATCAAAATAAAACAAAATAAATTAAAAAGTCTAACCTTTTACATATATACCAGTATGAAGTCTACAAAGTCTTAATAGTCTTTTTGCAACTCTTAAATGAACAACTTTCTGAGAGGCTTTAAATTCATCAGATTTATGATCAACATTTTTAAATCTAAAATGTAAAATTTTATAATCTAGCATACAAAGGCAACTAATAATATAAAATAAAAATAAAATAAAAATAAAATGAATCAATTTTAAGAGACAGATATTATATTTGCGATTGCAAAGAGTGAAAAATTCTCACGTCAATTCGAACCTCGTACCAAACACACAAAGTTACCGAAGAGCGGAATATTCCAGCAAATATTAAATTAAATTTATCCCGGTAACTTTGCGACCACGTTACTCCCAGGATCGTAGTTGCAGTTGTTAAACCTAATAAACCCAGAATTATAGAATTACTGCGTATTTTATTTTTTATTTGAATTGGAGAAGTATTAAAACGATCAAAGTAATACTTTGAATCATTATTAAAAATTTTTGTTGAATATTGAATTTTTTCCAAAGTAAGAGACTTTAAGGATCTTGGAAAAGTTGTAGGCCTATACACAAGGGAAGTTAAATTTATTCTATAGAGCAAGGAATTGTAACTGAAACATTTTGTAGATATGAAACGGTTTGGAAACGCCAAACGAGAAAAATTTTTTTGCATTCTGATTAAAGTTATCAATAATATCAATATTCGATATTATGAAGGGTAAAGATCTTGATCGATCATAAAAATTAATTAATTGCATAATATCTATATTTGTATTTATCAATCATTATTGGTCTATTGATGATACGTATAAAATACTATAATAACAATACAAAATATAGTAATAATGATATAAAAACTAATGCTAACTTTTGAAGTGTCAGTTTTTTATATCGGATATGTACATAGCAGATAGGTACTGGTGCGTACGTACGTATGTACATGCGTATAGCATTAACTATGTATCACTCTTTTGTTATACTTAAATGTACATTAAAAAATTATCTAAAAATAATAACAATCACTACGTACGTATCAAGTATTAATTCGTTATTTGTTATTATATAATAACGAAAATTATTTGATTAATTTAGAATTCGTTAAATTTATTAATGTTTTTTTTTTTGATGTACGTATACAATCAGGCCTAAATGCAAGAAAAGATGTGTATATTTACAGAGAGTTACTCGGGTATGTTACCGTGTCATTTTTTCTTGGTTTCTAATCAGTAGACCAATTGACCAGCCGATAACAAAGACGCTAGTATTCTAGTATTCTGGGCTATTTATGGTAACAATTCTGTTTGAATGAAAAATTACCATATCAGATATCAATGCTATTTGATACCAATGCTATCGATACGTATTGCTAGATATATTGCCATATATGTCCTATGCATCTTATTGAAAGAGAAATTGACATTCTCGGTTGGATGAAAAAAAATTTACCATATCACCACTATCACTATGTATATCGCTACGCATTTATTTAATTATTACGTACAAATTAAAAAATCCACAGAAATACTATAATACCGCATAATATAAATAAAGAAAAGAAAAAAATCAAAGTCCAATATTTACTTTGAATAGTATTAAAGCACACCATCGGTGCTCAACAACACATATAATGTATATATGTATATAGTTTTATAATCATTTTACTATACTAAGTATATAGAGTAAAATTTAGGATTAGGGTTTAAGTTAGGATAAGGTTAGAGGGTAAAAATTAGAGTTAGAAAAGGGATTTTGGAGATATTGAACATGTATCAGACATCGATCACTTAGAATGTAATAAATGTGATGTTGAACACCACTGGTGTGTTTTGGTAAACTTGTTTAATTTTGAATGAATTAATGATAATTTTGTGGTTATGAGTGATGATAAAAAAATTGGCATGAAATAAAAGTATAATAATTGTAATTTATTTTGAAGCTTGCAAAAAATAAAAAAAGACGAGTGTTCAACACCTATAATAATCACTTTTAATTTAACGAACTCTATGCTTCTGAATATAACCTCCAGAATTAGTCCTAATTCCGGGGTTACTATGATCGTTTGAAGACTTTCTATGTGATTCATTCGAGTAATTCGTATAATGTCCATGGCTATTCTTATTACCTTCAGAAAGATTCATTGATGATTGAGGATATTTACTTTTGGCGTGCTGTTGTGGAGACTGTGGTAAATGGCCAGAACTTGTTTTATGAGAATGTGAGGAATGTGAGGAATGTGAAACATGTGAGGAATGTGGAGAATGTGAGGAATGTGGAGAATGTGAGAAATGTGGAGAATGTGAAGTATGTGAAGTATGTGAAGAATGTGGAGAATGTGGACTTCCGTATGAGCTACCACTTCTACTTCTATGATGATTTTTGTTCAAACTAGAAGCACTATTTTTTCTTTCACGAAGCATTACATTTGCGGAACTTGAAGTGCTTGTTGTAGTCCCACTTGATGAATCATTCATTAACATTTGATGACGTGCATCAGTCGATAATGCAGCTAAAGTCTCACGAGCCCAATACCCAGAATCTTGACGTTGATTAGGCGATATACGACCCATCGTTAATTGTGGTGAGCTAAGTAGATCATTTTTACGATGTGGAGATAATTCAGAATGACTTTTCCGTCGAGAATTCGGATTGGCTAGAGATTTTGGAGCATCTAATTTTTTAAATAGATTTCATATAATTATATCAGTAAAATGTTATATATATATAATACGATATGTACAGCATGTACACAGTATATGTACAATATGTACTATAAGTACAAGAGGGTAACTGTAATTATATAAATATGTTTTTTAAAGCATTTTAGAAACTTAATAGTATTTAAACTATGATTTATGATTTCTATTGTTATGCATTAAATAACGATAGTTAGGCAATCACAGCTATCTCACTTGTACCTTCTTGTAGAAATTTAAAAACATACGGGAATCAAATGTAGAGGAACGTTGACGACGATGTTCAACCGAACCTCTACCAAGTGGACTTGCACTAAATGTCTGATTTGGAGTATAATCGGATAATCTACGACTACGCACATGATGGATTGGATCAGGACTTAATAATCCATCATCACCAGATACTACATGTACATTATATGTATGTATATATAGATATATATATAAAAATAAATATAAAAATAAATATATATACGCAAATATAAATATATATATATTTTTATGTGCAAATATAAATATAGATTGTATCATAGATACAATAAAATTTACCATTATTAAGCCATTCTTCGATCCGTCCACCATTTTTCTTTATGGAACCATTTGGAGAAGCAACTTTAATTATTGGCTTGACTTTGAGTGCAAGAGGCGTATCATCAGAACTTTCATCTGTTTCTTCCTCATCATTATCATCATCATCATCATCATCATCATCACTCTCATCGTCATCACAGGATTCTTCACTGTCAGAATCTTCTTCTTTAACCTTTTTAAGTTTATTAGACCTTTCAGATTTATCTATTCTCTTTGTTTGACTCATTTTTGATATAGCCAATTGGTTAATTTTTGAAGTTAATTTTGGAGATGATTCAGAATCAGATTCATGAGAATCTTGAAAACTAAATTGATTAACTAATGAAGATGGTCTCGAAGGAGAATTATTGTACGAAGAAGACGGTCGAGATTGATTTGTAACTACGGAATTAGGTCGAGATTGTGTGTTTGTATAAGATGATAGCGGTCTAGAAGAATTATTGTTTACAAGATTTGATCGTAAAGGAACATTGTTGTGTACAGATGGCGGACGAGAATTTGATGAACTGTTTGATCTTGAATGAACATGTGGAACCTTTGCGATTTGCCCTTCTAAAATTGATTATCAATTAAATTAAGGAAAATTAAGGAAAATTAAGGGATATTAAGAGAAATTAAGGGAAATCAATTAAGGAAAATTAAATTAAAGGAAACATGACAATACTTACCAGGAAGGGATCTAGGTTGTTGAAGTATTAAAGAAGTTCTTTGACTAGAAGATGGAGAAAAAGATGATGCAGTATTGATTTGTCTACTAGTTAATATAGATTCTCTAACATCCATTAATGTAGTTTGTTTTCCTAAACTAATACGTTTTTCTTCAGACATAGCTATACTATCTCTTGGATTATCATTTGTTGAAGGTGAAGAATAAGACGACGCTCTCCTTCTTTGAGGAGGAGGAGCATTAACATTATTATCGTTTTGTTCTATCGTACTCAAAATTGGAGGGATAAGTAAATGAGTTGGTCTTGGTATATAAACTTGGTCGTCGTCATCGTATCTACGAGTATTTGGACGACTATGGACAAATATTACACTATTCTCCGGATCCTCTTTCAGTGCTCTCGCTAACTGAAGTCTTGAAAAAACAACAGGGTCACTATTTGCGGATACGCTCATTTTTTTGATTGAAATAAAATGAAATGAAAATGTGTATCGATCGATTTATTATATATGTGAGAATATATACAGTATAATATAAATAATATATAAACTATTATATATATTGTGTATTATATTATATTATTATTATATATTATATTATATTATATTGTAAACAGGAAAACGGATGACGACAGAATAGGCCTCAGCAGACGAAAATAACATAAGTTGCTACAAAAAAATTCGGCTGAAGGAAAGGATTTATATAGAGCGTAAAAAAAAAAAAAAAAAAAAAATGGCAGCTAAAAAAAAACCAGATTAAAACTAATCTATTTAAAAGTCCATACATAATGCTGTAAAAAAATAACAAATGCGGAGCTAGTACGTGCCTATCGATATGCATTGCATATATACAATATGTGTGATGAGAAATCTGATTTGTGATAGATGTTCAAGTAAAATTTTCTTAATATCATAGCGAAATAGGAAAATATAGTTTAACTACGTACACGAACAATTTCAATGTATAAAGTATAATCGAAATAACAACTAATGTAAGGATATAAAAAATAATGAAATTATAGCAAATAGGCAATAAGGTTATTACTGTATTTCTTTTTGTGTTAGTCGCCTTTGTTTGCTAATTTTTAATTATTGTACACCCTTAAAGAATGATAAATCATAAAAATAAATCGGGAATAAATATCTAAAATATATACTATTGAAAATATTTTAAAAGATTAAGCACAAATTAAAAAAATGTTCGCAGATGCTTTCTTTCTTTTTTTATCATTTTAAAATTTTCTTAAGTCTTATTAAGTATAGCAATTAAAATAAAATTTAGATATTCCGAAAACTTTACATGCCCTCATAATAGCTGTTCGTGTAACATTAAGAATTTAAATTCGTGTAACATACATAAAATATACATATCGATACACTTAGGATACGAACTAATACGTATAAGAAACAAACCTAACATAATTTCTGTAAAAAACATTTCGTTGTATGTATGTAAAGAAAATCACAGGAGTTTCGACTATTCGAAGAACATAAAATCTATTTTTAGTACATTAAATATTTTTGTTTACTAATAAAATTTCGAATTTAGAGTGTTGCCTGGTAAGGTAAGACTACACGAATCGATTATTTTGTGTACAATCGTGCTTCGTCATTTCGTTCATCTTAAACCTTATAACAAAACATGCAATCGAACTAAAATACAACAAATATCTTTATGTAATCTATATGTTACACCATATGTTACTCAATATATTAAGCATTACTTGTATGAAAGCCTTACAAGAATCCATATCCATTGTTTATACTGATACGTATCCATTATTATTATTTTTTTATTATTTTTTTACTAACTCATACGTATAAAATAATCCGACTCTTTCTAATTCGAAAAGTGGTTATTTTTCTAACTATAATTGTTGTAATTTCTAATTTCTAACCATAACTCTAGTGCTAAACCACAATAGTAATGTTACTGCTACCTTAAATGCGACCTAATACATAGCCATTCAATAATTTAATACATGAAAAAGATTATTTTTAAGAAATTAATCTGATAATTGGCGTTAGTTTACCATATAGCCTATTATAGTCTAGGATAATCCTTTATATATCATAATCTATATTAACACAAAAGTAATCCATCGATTTTTCCATGCATCTATAAAGGAAACTGAAAGTTACTCCTCGGATATACATGCTGTTTCGAACTTACATTTCAAATCTGTTTATATTCTGAAAAAAACAGTTTTGTATAATTAGTAAACTTTTTTTTTCTCATGATTTTCATTCGATTCATTTTCGGATGAACTTAATTTAATTACTTCAATAGGAATAAAATAAATCTATTCTAACTTTAAACATGATTTCGTGCCATCACCACTCCAAACAAATTTTATTAACTTTCCAAACAAAGCAAATGAAATGCTTGTTTTCATATTAAGTTAACGGATTGTCAACTCAAATTATTCTTCACCAATCGGATCTATTCATGTTAATCCCAATTTACTTCTTATAACCTTCGTTTCATCCTGTCTAGCTTTGGTTTCTTGTTTCAATTTTATTCGTAAAAAAATCTATTATTACCCTGAGCGGAATGGTTCGTAATGTTAATACCTATTTACTATGTTCTCTACTGCTAATGATATAATGATATTTATCAATCATTCAATGTTACATACCGTTGCGTATTTTATATGTACGGGCTGTATGTATAAATTTGCTTTTTTTTCGCTGCTACATGCTGTATCGATATTTATAGCCGAAATTTTAATTTAGCTATTGGTTAATTAAATATAAATTATATAAAATAATTTTAAATTTCTTGATATATCTGATATGGGAGTGTCAGTAGAAACCAGGCAAATTGTTTTTAGTAAGTTTTTTTAAAAATTTTAAATTAACATTAACTATTAAACCAAACTTGATAAATTTTTTTTTATTTTAATTCTATAAGTATATAGAATTAAAATAAAAAAAAATTTATCAAGTTTGGTTTAATAGTTAACGTTAATTTAAAGTTGATAAAAAATTTACTTAGAAATAATTTGCCTGGTTTCTACTGACACCCCACCCCCCATATGTTGATCAATACATGACCTCTATTATTCTTCATTGCTTTTCAACCTATCGTAATTAATCAACAATCGATACGGGTATGGTTATGTTTAACTATTTATAGACAATAATAACGATTAAAATTGATAGAAATAGTGTGATAATCATCATTCTAGATACATTATCAGGGTTCGCTGTCGCACAATCGTTATGCTCTTCGAGCTGGTGTGTTCGTACGTACACATATTGTCTTAACCTTATCATTAATGTCACAATGAATTATTTGTGCTGCCGTGCAAAGATCCATATCTTGCATATACTTACTCTCTAAAAAAAAAATAAAATAAAAAAATTCGGAGATTTTTTTCTTTAGCGAGCAGCTTTATGCATCTCAAAGTTTTGAATACGTAAAACTTTCTGCCTACCCCTACCGATAATATCCCTCTTGATCATAATAATACACACTTTCCCCTTAACACCTAGTTTGATAAAATATGTAAAATTTAAATAAAAGAATTTTTGATTAAAATTTGGTAGATGACTACTGCAATATATTCGAAATTATTAAACTGCGAATAAATAAAATTTATGTTAAGATGGTTTTAAAAAAAAGTTATTTTAAAAAGCTATAAAACTTTTATTTACTAAAACATTTTTTTGAACCCATCTAAGTTTATAACCAACATATTTCCCAGCACTTTTCGATAATCTTCAAGTGGAAATTGTTCGCACATGCGGTTCCTGAGCCTCTGCCCGATTATAGTATGATACACATTTACACATATTGCATTCAAGTATGTATGATAAGTTCCGTTTCAAAGTATTTTTCTGGACTAATCGGACTAGGGGTGATCTACAGCAGTTAGTCATGGAATAAAGATGTAGCGGTAATGTGATCTACGATCAGTTCTTAGAGCAATCATGCAAAAAGATATCGCAGTATTGTCATTTCATAGAAACAGTGGGGCAGGTAGATTAGCCATGGCAAAAAGATGTACAGTTCATAAAGTAAGGGCAGGTAGATTAATCATGGCAGAAAGTTGCACAGTTCATACGTAGAGACAGTGAGGGCAATACCCAAACTATTTGGGACGTCCCAAATTATGTGATGAATAGCATCACACGATTTCTGCAATAACAATATGGAGTTAAATACCTCACGCGATATTATTCATCACATAATTTGGGACGTCCCAAATAGTTTGAAATTAATCATGTCAGATGTACAGGATACCGCAGTACTGTGATCGCCGACTGTTTCAGCCCAGCCTGAAAAAGCCAAACAAGCTGTATGATATGATGTAATGGTAAATTTCTTCAGCAGAACAGAAGGAACCTTCACCCGTTGTGCAACATATAAAAAAATTATTTTAAAATACCAGATCAGTACATATTATGATCATATTCCCCCGATCACTATATCAAGGTCACGGGAGGATTAATTAATAATACCATGACCATATGTGAAAAGCGGAAGCGAAGTTTCCAATGGATCAGGATATTATTATTACTAATCCCACACCATTTTATTATAATCATTATGCGTAATATTTTAAAGTATTAAAACCTTATGTTAGGGTTGGTATAGGATTACAATATGCATATTTTATACCAAAATTTCACGAATAATTTTTTTTATTAGAGCGCAGACAGTGGTTTCATAGTGTTTTTTTAAAAAAACGTGGTTTTCACGTTACACCTGATCTAGTGATCTTATTGGCGACGATCATTCAAAAAAATCCGATTGGTGTATATACGACGATCTTTCATGGGCAGCTGTTCACAAAATTTTGGCATGACGTGTCCTGATTTTTTTCCGACGATCTTTTTATCAAACGGAATTTTTCTCTCCAATGAAATTCGCATAAATGCATCTAAAGTAAATGTATTCAGAGAAGTGCGCAAACGAGTTTTAATAATGTTTTGTCTAGAAAGCTCATGTTTACAATTACACTTGAAAAAGGTATACTATTAGTAATATGAACAAGTTTAATCATTAGGAAAAATATTTGAATAATCATGAATTAGAATAAGAAGTAATTCTTGTAAAGAAAGTGTTAAAAAATTTGAAAAAATTATATTCTTAAAATGGTTCCGGTTTAATTTCCCGAAATCCATTTTTCTGAAATACCATTTCACCGAAGTCGTAATATTTTACTACGTAGAAAAACAATTAACGATAAGTTTATTTCATTGATAATTATTTCATTGATAATTATTTCACTGACAGATCATTTCACCGACAAGTTTTTTTAAAAAATTGCACTAACCTTAACTTTAATTCTAAACCTGACCCTAACAACGATGACTAGAATTACTTTGTCCTGTCAGTTAAATAAACTGTCAGTAAAATAAACTTGTCAGTTAATTGATATTTGGTGAAATGACATTGACATATTTCTGTCCTGTTAGTAAAATGGATTGTTGATATTACGACTTTG